GCTCTCGCAGGCCGCCGCGGGCCTGGCCGCGTCCTCCGCTGCCTCCACCTCCCCCGGGCGCCACGGGCTCGCCCAGCATTCCGTCCTGTGCTCGCCCCTACTGCTCCCTCCTACCCCCGGAGCTGCACCGGCTCCTCCCGCCGCAGCTCTGGACCTGGCTCCCCCACGCCCTCTTAACATTCATACTGAGACATCTCAGAGTTTCCACATGGTATATGCTATTCCTTCCCATAATGAGTAATAAACGAAACTTGCTCATCTATAAGTATTCTGCTTTTTGATTAAAATGCACTGGCAAATATGAAATAGAGTAAGGTGGCAAAGAAGCGGAAAGTTCGCATATTACACTTAATTTAAGTATTTCTAATAAGACTGCTCCATCTACAGACACCTTCCAGGCTTGAGAATGTTTCTATGGAAGGCCAGGCAGGATCTTACTGCAGCTGCTCTCTGACCAGCTTTAACTGGAATGTGGACTAAGTTTCTTTGTCCTAAACAGAGGGGCAGATCTTTAAAAAATATATTTTTATTGATTCAAGAATTTCATGCAATGTACAGTATCCTCCTCCGCTCCAAGTTCATTCATGCTGCTGCAAATAGGAACATCTAATTTTAAAGTTATAATTGTATATGTATAGCAATGTAATGTAGAACAACATATTATTATAGTGATTACATAAAACAGCCCTTTGTAATGTGAGTAGACTTCATCTACTCTGGTGAAGGCTAGAGTAGGACACAGGACAGAGTAAGGCAGAGTTCACTTGTCCCTCGTGGTCTCTGGCTCAGTTGTGAACTGGAAGCCACATTGGTTCTCTTTCTTGGACATTCAGACTAAAACCAAGCTGCTCATTAGTCCCCTGTGCCTTCAGTTCGTTACTTGCACATTTTCTCTTTTTTAAATGAATACTTTGCGCATTTCATACAATAAATCTTAATCATATTTAGACCTCCTCCCCCATCTATACCCCTCCATAGTGCCCCCCCCACCAGATTTCATGCATCCTGTCATTTCTATTAAGACCTAAGATGTATGTAAGTGTACCCATGTTGTACCCATGTTGTGAAATACCAGAGGAGGCCAGAAGATGGTGTCAGATCCCCTGGAACTGGAGTTACAGATGGTTATGAGCTGCTATGTGGGTTCTGGAAACCAAAGCCAGGTCCCCTAAAAGAGTAGTCAGTGCTCTTAACTGCCAACCATCAAGAGATGGTACCCCCTAAAAATTCGTAATTAGCTTTTGAAAAGAAAGGCTTCTGCAAGTTTGGGGATCAACTGAATCAACAGATCACGAGGGTGCCCTTCCTTCACACCCTCCCCAGCATTTGGGATCATCTCTTGGTTTTAGCCATTCTGACTGGGTTAAGAAACCACTAAAGTGGTTTTGAGTTGCGTTTCCTAATTATTAAGGTTGTTGAATATTTTTTAAGGTATTTCTTAAAGGCTACTCAATGGGAGGAAACATATGTAGTACTGTAAACATAGCCATGTTTACAGTAGCCATATGTAAACATACATGACTACGTAGCCATAGTCATGTGTAGTTACACATGACTGGAGAGGTCTTAGATCTTAGAAATGTCACATCCCTAGACAAATGAAATTTCTTACTACATGCTAAGGTATGTATCCTTATATTTATAGACAAGTATCTCTCTCACCACTCATCAAAAAAGCTTTTTGCAATAGATGGAGACTACAGAGTTCAACCACTGGTCAAATGCAGAGAGATGCCCAGCCCTAAGTGACACATCTACAATGCAATCTCCACACCTAAGGCTTAGGGAACATAGTGGAACGGGGGGGGGGCAGAGAGAATAATAATACATCTCTCATCAGCAAAGCTTCTTCACACAAGAGACGATTAACCCAGAAAGACACAACCGGCCAAAGTGAAGAGAATAAGAGACTACAGGGTGCATGTTACTGAATAGGACTCCTATATTAAACCTCTGCCACGCAGGACTCAAGGGTCATTGTGAAAGAGAGGGCAGAAAGACTGTAAGCAACAAGGGTGGTGGATGACCACAAGGAAACAGAGTTATCCATGTGGCTGGGAACTTGCTCCTAGGAACTTACAGCAATGGGGACAGCATGCACAAAACCCATGTAACTCAAACCAGACAAAAACCCATCATAGAAGTAGGGAAATGGGCAAGAAGCTCCAACTTTAGCTGAGAAATTATTGGCAACTGATCACTGCTGGGCGAGGGAGAACTGGTTTTCTTTAAGGAGGTGACACTAGGTAGGTTGACCAGACTCCAGTGGATGAACTCACATTGAGGGACATCTAGGTACACAAACTTGACTTGATAGGCCTTAACATATATAAAAGAATGCATTAAATTCAATGGGAGGTGTGGGGGTGATAAAGATGGGGGGTCTAAACATGATTAAGGTATATTTTATGAAATGCATAAAAATTTAATTAAAAAAATAGAAAAAAAGAAGCGGGTCCATTCAAAGTGGCCTTGCTCCTGGGCAGCAGGAGGAAGACTGGATTGGCTTTTCCTGCTCTACCTGAGATCTGAACTCTTACAGTCCAGACAAGTGCTTGGCATTCTTGTCCTAAGGGAGAGAGGCAGTGGGTGCAATCTGAGCTCTTGACCTAACATGAGGTTAAGCTTTTCAAGATTCATTGTATTTTTTATTATATATTTTTTATTTTTTAGAAGAAGCATTTCATTACAGCTTTAACATACTCAATAGCAGTTTCCAGAGCAGAGATACATCTCTTTCAAAAGTGACTACAAAATTTTTAGGTTCACTGTTGAATTAATAGTTATACAATATTGAACTCAGTATAAACCCTGTAAGACATAAAATTGAGTTTTTCAGAAAGACTCATTGTTTTTGCTACTAACACTGAGATGTTGGCGCATGCATCTCTGATCTGTATGTATCTGATTATTACTAGTCATAATCAGTTGCACTTGGATCCTTGGCACCTGAGTATGTCCACAAAGTCATCACGCAGATTTCAATGGTAATGTCCATCACCTCTACCAATTAGCATGATGTAAATTTCCATGCTTCTTCCTCAAATATAATACATTTTTTAAATTTGTTGATTTTGTGTGTGTGTGTGTGTATCACACAGAACATCCCAAACCATCTTATTCATCTATACACCCACTTCCCAGATGCGCCCCCCTTACTCCCTCCACTAGAGCCCTTATACTCTGTCATCCCGCTGTGTTGTCGGCACTCCAGCCGTTCCCTACTGCTTGTCCATCCGGTGAATCTAGTCAGCCTATCTAAAGGTCTTTGTTTTAGGAAAGTCAGCTGTTTCTCATCCAGCAGCAATGAGTTGTCAATATTCCATTAGATAAGATAGGGTTCTGCTGTTCATTTTCCCAGTTCTATGCTGGGTTACTATTTGGGAGTCCCTTTGGCCACCCTGGCCAACAACTCAAAAGAAGGTATCGCCTGTCTGGCATTGTTGCTTGTTATGTAGCTTTTAAAAAAAAAAAATTATATTGTCCCCTTTAATCTTTGGTTATACTTTCCTTTTGGGTGTTTAAGGCCATACAGTTGGTCCAGATAAACCAATTTATTTTTACTCTTAAGGTCATTTGAGGATCTGTTCCTCAGTGGTCACATGGGCTTGGGAGGAGCCCCTGGCTCCTTTCTTTTACTAGTTCTGTCTATGTGAACATAAGTCAAAGGTCCTGCTTGACCATGGCTGCCTTCCCTTGGAAGCATGGAGGAAATCTTTCCTCTGTGTTGACCCTCCTCTTTGTAGACTGGACACTGGTTCAAGTCCATCTGGTAGGTTCTCCTCAGCCTCCTTGATCAAGAGGACAGGTGACTCACTACAATTATAGGACATTTTGAGAGATGCTCATAGTCTCTTGGAACTAGTCGACCTAGGAGGGCAAGGAGCAAAAACTGTCCTTTATGTCCCTCTGTCCAAATTAGTATAGGCCTCAAAGTATGTCTGTTAAACATCTAAGAAGGTTAGTTCCACCAGTCTGGTACTTTTAATTACTGTGTGTCATGTAGATAAATCTTGGGCAAAGACCAATTGTTCTCAGATAAACCTTACCTAGACATATATTTCTTGATCTGCTATGTATAATTTGTCAGTAGCTCGTTGGAATAATGTAGTTCCCCTTGGTTTTTAAAACTAGCTAGGCATTATTTATCTCTTGCATTCTCTAACCCCTCCATCATGGTTTCCCAAGTTAAGGTGCCCCCACTTTTCCCATTTCTCCCTTAATAATACCCTTCTCCTATGGTCCTACCTCTCTTGAGCTCCTTCTTTCCCTTTATCCCCTAGGTTCCTGTATACCCTCCCCTCCCCACTCCCTTAAACTATCCCAGTTTTTATCCATATCTCCCTTATTAACGCCTGTTACCTACTGTTCTTCTCTTTCAGGTTCTTTCTTTTCCTTTACCTTCCTGGTTCCTTTCCATTATCCTGGTTCCTGTAGTTATATCTGGATACATACTCACTTATCAGGATTTGGTGCTAGGATCCACGTATGAGGGAGAACATATGTCGGGTTTTTTTTTTTTTTTTAGTCTGTCACGTAGTATAACAGTGTCTAGTTCCATCCATTTACCTGCAAATTTCATGATTTCATCTTTCTTTACTGCTGATTAAAACTCCATTGTATAAATGAACCACATTTTCATTATCCACTCGTCCATTGACGGACAACCAAAAACACTGGCCTGCACTGTCTGGTTTCCAGAGTAAAAGAAAAAAAATTATTGTAAATCAAGACCCTGTCACTGAATCTTATCTGGGATGTTTATTTTATTAATTAATTAACTACTTAATTATAACATAATATTTCCTGTTTTAATCAATTGAAATGCTAACACAGTAAAAGGTTTCCTTGTGGCATTTACATACATCATTTTGGTTTCTCTTTTCCCTGATCCTCCCTCATCCCCCTGCCCTCCCTTTCCCTACTTTTTGACCCCAGTATCATAAACTGTATTTAGAAATGGGGGAAACAAATGTGGAGGCACACAGCTCCTGAGCTCATTAACTCTGACTAACTTTTGCATGCCTAAGAATTTTTCTCAAGGCGGCCTTCACGTCCTTGTTCCGGAGACTGTAGATCAGCGGATTTACAAGTGGAGTCACCGAGGAGTAGATCAAAGTTACAATCTTCTGTGTCCCAGCTGGATTTCCAGAGTTTGGACTGATATACATCACCATTATGGTTCCGTAGAACAGAGACACCACAATTAGATGGGAACCACAGGTGGAAAAGGCCTTACGTCTGCCAGCTGCTGAAGGGACACGGAACACTGCCCTGAGAACCAGGGTGTAGGATGCAAGGATGAAGAAAAAGGTGATGAAGATAATAAGTGAGCTTAGTAAAGAGCAGGCTAACTCAATTCCAGGTGCAGGGGTGCAGGACAGGGCCAGAAGAGGACCAGGGTCACAGACAAAGTGATCAATGGTATTGGGGCCACAGAAGGGAAGCTGAGTGATGAAGTAGATGGGGACCGGATAGCACAGGAAGGCTGTCACCCAGCAGAGGGCCACCAGGTTTAAGCAGAGGCAGCTGCTTATGATGGTAGGATAGTGGAGAGGCCAGCAGATGGCCAAGTATCTGTCAAAAGCCATCAGGGGCAATAGGAATGTCTCGTTGATACCACAAGAAAAGAAGAAATAGAATTGGAGGAAGCAGGCTGTGAGAGAGATGGTTTTGGTCTCAGACAGGAAGTTCCCCAACATATGTGGGGCAGTGGTGTTGATGTAGCAGATCTCCAGGAAGGAGAAGTTGGCCAGCAGGTAGTACATAGGGGTATGGAGCCTGTGGTCCACCTTCACTGCACAGATGATGGCCCCATTTCCCATCAGTGTCAGGATGTAGGACAAGGAGAACAGTATGAAGAGGAGGACTTGAACTTCTCTGGAGCAGGGGAAGCCCAAGAGTATGAATTCTGTCACTGTGCTGGCTTCTGACATATTCATGGTGTCCTAAGTGGTAAATGAGAAGGAAATGACTGTGACACAGACCATCTTGTTTCTTAATACTTAGGGGCATTCTCCATCGTGTTCGGGAGCCCCGTGTTCCTTGAGGCCTATCGGTGTGCTAGGAGAACAATAACCTCCTGCTTAAGACTGTCAAGGTCTGACTGTGCTTCCCTGGTGCTTCTCAGAATTTCCGTACAGTGTGTCACATTTCTCTGTCAGAATTTTCTTTTTTTCTTCACCCTACTTTACTTTTATTTCATGATTCTTCTTAGCATGCAGGGCACTTTCTTGGGGAAAATTTTTTCTTTGAAGTCAAGTTGACATTATAAATTAATTTGTAAATACAGAGTTATGTTAGAAATAATATTCATAAAAGCCATTAATTCTTCACATACAAAAGAATCATACTTTATGCACAAAATATGAGGCTAGGGAGTTTCTTTGGTTGCCTTTTAGCCTAAGATTGCATAAGTCATGGTCATGCAATTTTACCTCAAGAAGCCACTAAAAATTTCCATATATTAAAAAATAAAAGTAATGCTATGAGTTCTAATACACAAACAATGCAAGACTCTTCCTCCAACAATAGGGAATTAGGGTTTCTTTTCTCTTGTCTCTAAAAATATTGAAACATGAACAACAACAATCATGTCAAAGGCTCCAAAACATGGTAGTAAGGGAGCTTCCAGGACATCACCTTTCTGTTCATAATTTTCTTAATCAAAGGCAGGATCTTGCACAATAAGCGTCTTGGAGAAGGTTACAGTGTTATAGGCATTACCCATTGTGAAGATTCAAACCATACTCAGGTTGGTTAGGAAGTTCTTATAGACTATGCACAGGCCCCAGAGGGGGTTAACCTGTACTAGAGAAACTGAGGCCCCAATTGGAAATACATACAGATTTTATAGGATTTTTATAGGATTACTTGGCAGTAATCATATTTATGGGTTTGAGATTTCTAGCACAGAAGTGTATGTGCCTCTTAGGTAATTATAGGAAATTTCAACAGTCAGCATTTTACAAAGAAGCAGATATTTTGGGCAAGTGTGGTGTTGTGACACTTCCTAGAAACATGCTGATGTCAGGATGATCTTAGCTGTTTTAACAAATAAGACATATGGCAGCAAGTGCTCCCTGGGAGACATCGCAAGAGGCAACGTTTTCCAAGGTGTCCGCAGACTGTAGTTTTTGTGGTTCTCTGTCTTGTCTCATCTCAGCCTGAGACCAAGCTCAGAGTGGCTTTTATGATTTGAGTACAGGTAGAAGCTTCCAAAGTCCTGTTACTTCTACACATATCAGCAAGCACACTTACTATTAGGAGTACATAAGGTTCTTGTCAAATATATTTGTAAGTACTTACTCACCTACCACACAGAACAAAGTTATACTATGGTCATAGTTTATTAGTTTCATATTAGCTTATTTTTCCCCATCAATAACATTCCTTGAACTGTGTATAAGGAATTAAAATTTATATACTTTTGTCTAAAGATTCATATATTTATGACACTCAGTGTCGGTGACAGAATTCTAATCATATGAATGTTTTAAATGAGATACAAAATGCTAGGCATCACAGGGAGGAGAGAGAGAGAGAGAGAGAGAGAGAGAGAGAGAGAGAGAGAGAGAGAGAAGGAAGGTTTGATCTTTGTTCATTCTCTATTCTGAATAATTTTTTGAGTCAGTAAAATGCCTAGAAGACAAAGAGACATCAAATATGAAATCCCATCTCCAATGTTCATCAAAGGTTTTGAACTTAGGAAAACTTTGATGGTTCAAACAGCTATAAAATGACTGTCAATTTGGCTTAATCATTTATCAGTTTGATTAGAACATTTCTGCACAACTTTGGTCTATATAAAAGTATACTGACAGAGGCTGGTGAGATGGCTCAGCTGTTAAGAACAACCATGCTTAACTCCAGTTGCAAGGGATCTGATACCTTCTTCTGGCCTCCTCAGGCATTGAAAAACATGGATGCACTTAAATACATGGAGGCAAAATGCTCACATGCATAAAATGAAAATAAGGAAATTAAAAAATTAAAGTATACGACAGAAAAAGTGAACAGTGTTTAATATATTATTTTAACACTTTTTGAGATTTTTACCTTTGTTATTTAGAAAAGCCTTTCTTCTCTTGGCCTAGGGATAGAGGCAGAAGGTCACAAATATCAAATATTCCCAGGCAGAGTCCCCTGGGTAGAAAAGAAGAGGCAAAAGACAAGCTATCTGGACCGGAAAGGAATTTCTCTGTTACTCCTCCAACATGTCTCATTATAGATTAGAAGGCTGGAGTCTTTGGAAGTGAGAGGAGAACCTTCATGAATATTTCCTGTCCTGCACCGAACACTGAATTCCCCTGTCAGAGAGGCAAAACAGTCTTCCTTCCAAACCAACCTTCTCCAAAAGCAACTGCCCTAAGATTTTGCTGCCTTTAGTTTGGTGTCGGCTAGCTGGTCCATTTTCTGGATTCCCCCTCCATTACTGAGGAACTGTTTAAGGCTGTATGTTTCTGTGTTTCAGGGTGGAATTGATGGCAAAATAATTGTTATTCAAGTAACTACCGAATGCCATCCCAGACATTTTCTGTAAGAAGGTTGCTAGCTAGGATTATTTCCCATTTTAGAAACAAGCTGCTCTCTAGATCACACTGTGTCACATCTTTAATGATTACTTTGACAACTGCATAAAATCATTCCACACTCTTCAAGTTCCTCTCTTAACCTCCGGTCTCCCTCCTCTATGAGTTCCCCAGCTCTCTTACTTTTAAAGATGAGTGTCTTTCCATCCACTCATGTAACTTGAGAGGCTGTTATTTCTTCAGGCATATGAAAGAAGGCAGAGCCAAAAGACACACCCAAGATCTATATTATACCTTATCTCTTGTGAATTCACCTCCTTGAATGAGCAAATCCGACTGATAATCTTGTATTTTGCCTGCAACAAAATGCAGATACGACAGACAGCATGACATCCTTGGTATCCAATAGTTCCAAACTTGGCATAGATGGCATGGCTTGGAGAGGGGTATTTACCACATTGCTAGGTTGCTCTGATACCTATGACTGATTCTTCCTAAGGGAGATGACTTCCTGTGGGAAGATGTTCAATCTCAAATGTGCCTTCCCCTCAAGGGTCTACTAATTGGTTCTTGGGACCCAGTCTTCCCATGGAGGATGACCTCATCTCCCATAGTTAGCACACATATTTATTTCCCACATTCAATAGTAACAGGTTACTGTCACACAGGTGCAAACTCAGGCAGCCCCAGCTTTAATGGGAACAGAACTGTGTTTGTTTTCTTTTTCTTTTCTCTATATTCCCTTTTCATTTACCTCTAGTTTTAGAATTTCTTTTTCATCAATATCAGTGTTACAACATTAAAGTTCTCAGTTTCTTTCATATTTTCTGGCTCACTGAAAGGTTTGTTTTGTGCTTCCTATATGGTAAAAATCTTTAAGTCCCCAATCAAGGTGTGCAGACAAAACACAGACCATGGAGGCAGGAGTAAAAAGCTACAGTTCTAGAGCATACATAGTCCTTCTTGAATCTTTGTTTCAATATTTTTAATATCTTAAAAGCTGCCCTGATTGAATTATGCGTGGTGGCATATGCTGATGATCTCTGCACACGGGAGGCTGAAGCAGGAGCAGGGTCAGTTGCATATTTAGTTTCATAGTGAGAGACTTTGTCACTCTATACAAATGACAAGCATGCTACGAAAGAGATAATGGAAACACTCGTATTCACAACAGCATTAAAAATCTAGGAATATAAACCAGGTGTGGGTGCACGCCTTTAATCCCAGCACTCGGGAGGCAGAGGTAGGAGGATCTCTATGAGTTCAAGGCCAGAGTGGTCTACATAGTGAGTTCCAGGCCAGCTGGGGCTACAGGGAGACCCCATCTCAAAAACAATCCCCCCCAAGTCCAGAAATATACATGACCAAGGAGGTGAGAGACCTGTAAAATGAAATCTTTAATCCCTGAAGAAGGGGACTGAGGAAGACAGTAGAGGATGGAAAGATCACCCATGTTTGTGAGCTGGGAGAATTAATAGTATGAAAATGACCATTCTACCAAAAGCGATTTACAGATTCAATGCAATCCCAATAGAAATTCCCATTATGCTCTTCCCAGAAATAGACTAAAAACTCCTAAAATTCACATGGAAGCACAAAAGACCCCATATAGTCAAAGCAATCCTGAGCAGAAAGATCAATGCCTGATGGATTGCCATGCCAGACTTCAAACTATATTATTCAGTTAGAGCAATAAAAACAGCATGATGCTGACACAAAAATTGATATGCAGATCAATGGAACCAAATAGAAAACCCAGAAAATGAGCGTACTGAATAAAGCCATCTGCTATTTATAAAAGTTTCAAAAATACACACTGGTAGAAAGACACCATTTTCAACAAATGGCGCTTGGAAAACTGGATCTCCACATAAGAATGAATGAAATTAGACCCACATTTATCACCTCACACACAATCAACTCCAAATGGGTCAAAGACAGTGTCAAACCTGAACTGGGGGATGAAAACACAGGAAGTCCTCCTCAAGATAGGGTGCAGGAAGAGACGTCTGAGTAAGTCTCCCTTAGCTTAGAAATTAAGGTCAGCAATTGACAAACTGGACTCATTAAACTGAAAAACTTCTGTACAACAAAGGAAGCAGGAGTCTGTGAGAAGGGGAAGCCCACCCAGTGGGAGAGAATCTTTGCCAGTTACAGGAGATAGAGGATTAATTACCAGACTATACAAAGAACTAAAGAAACAAAGAATCAGAAAAACATATGACCCAATTAAGAAATGGGCTGTAGATCTGAACAGAGAGTTCTCAAAAGAGAAATAAAAATGGCTAAGAAATATCCTAAAAATTATTCAACATACTTAGCAACAAGGGAAATGCATACTAAAACCATTTTGATATTTCTTAGCAACAAGGGAAATGCATACTAAAACCACTTTGATATTTCAACTTACCCTAGTCAGAACGGCAAAGATCAAGAAAACAGACAATAAATGCTGACAAGGATGTGAGGAGAAGGGAAGCCTCATTCAGAGCTGGTGGGATTGCAAACTGGTGCAGCCACGCTGGAAATCAGAGTGGAGAGTTCTTCACAAGCTAAAGGTAGATATACCTGTGACCCAGTTATAGCACTCCTTGGCATGTACCCAAAGGACGCCATGTTCTATCACAGAAGGACTTGTTCAGCCATGTTCATTGCTGCTCTTTTCACAGTAGCTATGAAATGAAAACAACTTAATGTCCATAGGAGGAGTGGATAACGAAAATGTATACATGCATAATAATTATATCGAGTTATAAAGTAAAATGAGATAATACATTTTGCACATAAATGGCTGGGACTGGAAAGCATCATATGAGTGAGATAACCAGACCCATAAAGAAAAACACCACACATTCTCTGTTATTTGTGGATCCTAGCTCCAAATCTTTACATGTGAATTTGTATCTCGAAGTAACTGGCAGTAACAAAACCCATGTAAATTCAAACCAGACAAAAACCCATCATAGAATACGGAAATGGGTAAAGAGCCCCAACTTTAGCTGAGA